AGAATTGTTTTTTTTGGTTTTTTTGGTTTTCCCAAGGTTTTTTTGGTTTTTTGTTTTTTCTGATTTTGGGGGGTCCAGCCAAGAGTCTCCCAGAATTGTGTTTTTGGTTTGTTTGTTTTCCCATGGTTTTTGGTTCTTTTTGTTTTTTCTTATGTGTTTTTTTATCCTTTATGCATATTTATCAGTGTTTTTTGGTTTTGATTGTGGCACTGATGCATTTACCTAATATTTATGAATATTTATGGAAAACCAAAACCCAGGCCCCATGGCTACCCCTTCTGTATTTTTAAAATGTTTTCTCTATTTTTGTCTCCCAGGTTCGATGCCTGCACTGCTGGTGTCCGCCCTTTTCCGTTGGCCATGCAGCATTTCTATGAATTTCTTTCCCATGTGGTTTATTTATTGTTGTTTTCCAGGTTCGGTGCCCGCACTGCTGGCATCCGCCCTTTTCCCCTTTCCAATATTTCTATTCGTTGGTCTCCCAGGTGATTTCTGTAATTCCCCAAATAGGCTATTGTTAGGGGCTCTAAATGCTTTCTAAGAGTGTCCGCCTTGCTGCCGGACAGCTTGTCCGCCTTCCGTCCTCATTGTGTCCGCCTGATCTCCCTTCTGTTTCCTTTTGTCTCCCTTCTTGTTGGTCATTGTGTCCGCCTTCTCTCCCTTCATTCTTTCTTTGTCTCTGGTCTTGTCTCCCTTCTGTTATCTTTTGTCTTATTTCCTTTTTGTCTCCCTCTTGTCATTGCGTCCGCTTCGTCCCTTCTATCTCCCTTTGTCTCCGGTCTTATCTCCCTTCTTGTGGGTCATTGCGTCCGCCTTGTCTCCCTTCTTGTTTCCCTTTTTGTTAGTCATTGCGTCCGTTTGCCTTCTTATCTCCCTTCATTGCGTCCGCATATCTCCCTTTTGCCTACGGTTTTGTCTCCCTTCTGCTTCCTTTTGTCTCCCTTCTTATCTCCCTTGTTGTCCCCCTTCTTGTTGGTCATTTTGTCCGCCTTATCTTCCTTCTTTGTTTCCTCTCTCCCCCTCTCGCTTGCAACCCTTCACATTTGTCTCCCAGCTGCTCTGCCCTGCAATATTACATTTGTCTCCCAGCTCTGGGCTGCGTGTCGTTTACAATCCTTTACATTATCATTTAATTCCCTGTGTATCCCAGCTCTCGATTGCTGTGTCCGCCTCTGCCTAGCAATCCTTTACATTTGTTTCGCAGCGCTAGGCTGCTGTGTCCGCCTCTGCCTTGCAATCCTTAATTTTACATGGGTTTCCCAGCTCTAGATTATTATATCCGCCTCTACCTTGCAATCACCCAGCTCTAGGTTGCATTGCATATCGCTTGCAACCTATATATTGTTTGGGATCTACGGTGATATTAAACAATAAAAAATCTATATTATATAAATTAATAAAATCGGTATAAATAATAATTTAGAAATATATTTATATATATATATTCATAGAATTTTTCGAATATTTATCATCAATTCATTAATATTAAAAAAATATTTAATATATATGTTCATTTTCTTTATTTTAATTTATATTCATAATAAAGATTAATTTAAAGATAATATAATAACATTTTAGATAAAAATAAATAAATATATTACGATCAAATTTATTCCTACAACATAAAATCATAATTATTACCTTCAAAAATGGTATCATTTTATAAAATATTAATAAATAAATAAAAAATGTAAAAAATATCAATCATTATGGTTATTCAAAAGAAATTTAAAAAGATATATATAAATTAATAAAACAATCAATAACGATAAATAAAAATAAAAAATACAATTAAATATATTAATTATCATCATTATAATTATACTTAAAATAATTATAAATACAATAATATATAAAACATATAAATATAATAAAAATATAATAAAATAATATCAATAACAATAACAATTAATAAATATATTATTTTAATTATAAACGCTATAAATACCAAATTTTCAATAAATAATTCGTATTATTTATATATATATATACATATTTAATATTCAAAATAACGTTTAACTCCAATAAATTTATATATCTATATATTCTATTCCTATAATTTCTAAATATATAGATTAAAATATTTGAATATAATAAATATAAATCTGTAATGATATCACCTTATGCATAAATAATATTAATTTATGTTTAAATGATTTTTTAGTATTTATGATCGATAAAATATCGATCACATAGGAAATAGAGGATCGGTGGAATTGGTGGAGATCATTGATGATGGCGGATTTGTTGTTCTGGCCAAGCATCGGATTATTGGAGCCAGCTGTATCGCTGTGGTGCAGTGGGAGCCGGAGGTTGAGGCTGAAAAGCTGCCCCGAAAGCTTGAGGCTGAGTGGGCTGCGTGGGCTGGGCCTGCGGCATTGGCTGAGAATTTGGAAGCCACCCGAACTGTGGGCGTGGCGCAGTCGGCATGGTCTGTTGCATCATCTGTGGCATGGTCTGCTGCATACCTTGGAATGCCTGGGCTTGCATGGGCTGAGGTTGCATTGGCATTGTTGGCATTGGTGATTGTGGCATTGCAGTTTGTGGCATTGCAGTTTGTGGCATTGCTGATTGCGGCATTGCTGATTGCGGCATTGCTGATTGTGGAAACGGAAATTGGAATTGCTGGGTCTGTGCTGGAAGAACCGGAGGAGCCGGTGCAGCTGGGGCAGCCGGAGTCGCTGGAGGCTGCACAAAGATCTCCTTTGCAGGCTCAGGAGGCGGTGTCTGTTGCACGGCCAAAGCCTCTTTTCGTTCTGCTAATTTTCCGTTTTCACCCCTAAAGCCTTTTGCTTCCCTTGACTTCGATCTCTCTCTGGGTTCGCTCTTTCGCCGTTCTCGGCTCTTGCTGCGCCGTTGTTCTCGGCTCTTGCTGCGCCGTTGTTCTCGGCTCTTGCTGCGCCGTTGTTCTCGGCTCTTGCTGCGCCGTT